CAGGTTTTTTTTTTTTTTTTTTTTTTTTTTGCTTCAAATTCTAGTTTAAAAATCTTTCTACATAGAGCTGCATGTCAATTAATATGTTTGTTAAAATTAGGTAAAATTGAACAAACTACATTATTATGGAAATTGAAAGAAGCCATGAATAAGGTTGCCACATATGAATATCAAACCCAACAAAGTTTTAACCATTCCATAAAGATTTCATTTAATTTCCGAATTAATGCCTTGTACTTTGTTTGTTACATATATTGTGACTGAGATTTTTGTTTTTTAGAAATATCTCTGCCTACCTCTCTCTACTAATGAATGAAACATGCATGTATCAGCCCCACTTGTGTCAAAAACTACTCTTATCGACAGCTTATCATCATTTATGTATTTTTTTTTATTTTTTATTTTTTGTAAACCTAGTAATTACCTTTCTCGCAACTCAAAAATAAAATTTTCGAAATATAACTAACTACAGTGATTAAAAAACATATTTATTTTCTTTTTCACCGTCTAATTACATATAATCAGAAAAACAGACTTTTTTAACTGAAACTGTTAATAAGTTAAAAATTGTCGAGAAAGCCCATGTCAAGAATTTTATGTTATTTTAACAAGTATAACTCATAATTTTACTCTCACTTATTATATCCACATCATGGGGTGTAGAAAAAGTACTTTACATATCCTACACCCATCTAACCCACTGTGTAAGTTAGTGTATTTCCCAACAAAGATACTAAAATACGCCCAAGGTCACCGTCAAACTAGAGGAGAGAATGAGGCTAAGTTAGGTGGTAAAGATTGTTACGTAGTAACAAAAATAAACCACATGGGACCTCGTGATCCCTCTCTGTCTATCTCTTTTAGGGTTTAATTCCTTTCTCCTTCAATAACTGACGTTTCATTATTCTCTGCTTAGAACATCTCAACACAGCAAAACCCAACCCCATTACCTCAAAAAAGGCAAGCTTGCTGTTTCTTCTGCACAATTTTGTCCCTTTCTCCCTCACTTTGTTCCTATGTGCATGTAGAAATGATGAGTTTTCTTGAAATTATAAGAAATAAAATACCAAAAGCCACTCAACTTTTGCAGTGAAATTGAACTGTCCACAACTTTTGCATACTCTCTTTAGAGCTTCTTTTAGTTGACTTGAGATATTCATGTAGTGAGAATCAAAAGGAGCGAAGAAGAGAGATTTGCTTTGAAGCATGCGCAGTCATAGTGACAAAAATTGTGATGATGATGATGATGCTTGTTGTGAGGTTATTATTGAGTCCTTGTTGTGACCCAGAAATGGAGGAGATAATTAGATTTGGAAATCAATAAAGAAACAATAATAAAATGGAAGCTGACATAGTGACGCATCTCATAGCAAAATAAACTATTTGTTTTGGTTTTATCAAACCACTAATGTACTGTTGGTGGAGAGGAGAAAAACGATATTAAGGGACAAAAATTTTATTGAACAAACAAACAGATTGAACTAATACATTCGACTCTTGTCAAAAGCTTTTTTGTCGTATTATTTTATAATAATAATGCCTAATGGTTTTATCTAACTTTCGTATTCATTTAATTCAAATTTGGATGTTTTCACTCATAATTTTGTGTGAATGATGGCAACCACATAACTATATCAATAATACATATTGTTGCTACACTTGCTTGAATTATTGATGCCCTTGGTTTCCATTATTGTAAAACTAAGTCAATTTTTCCAACATCTCTAATGGTGATTATGTCTAGCTAGCAACTTTCTATGGTGTTTTAGGTAGAAATGTATGTATTAGCTGCTATAACAGTGATTAATTAACCACTATTACCTTGAATTTTACACTATCTCCTACTTTTGACACCAAGAAATGAAAGGATATAAGTCGGTATATATACATACTTAAATTCTATATCAAACAGATTATTAACCTAATATTATGGATTATCGTTCTTTTGATAAAATTACCGACCCAGTAGTGCCAGCTAGCAACAGTAAAATCTTTTTCGTTCCAGGCAATATCTGCAAATAGTTTCTGCAGCTTCTGCTCCACTATGAATAGTGTGTATATGATGCGTCAACTCCTAGTCCCACCTTGTGAGACAGCAAACAGAAGTATTCATATTGGGCCACTCTCTGAGCTTTTTTTTAAGCTCTTTTAGGCATTATCCTGTCTCATCTAAACTTTCAAGACCCACAAGAAAAAATAAAAAATAAAATAAAATCTGAGTTTCATTTATTATGGATGTGAAACAGATTCTAGCTCTTTCCTCTGTATAGATAAATTTTGATAAAGAAAAAAAAATGGAGAAAAAACAATATGTTTTTAAAGTTTTAAGAAAAAATTAAAATATTTGAGTAAATTTCTGATAATTAAGTGTAAAAATTGTGCAGGGCCTGGATGTTCATCAGTGGCATATGGAGCCTCTGAAGAAATTGGACCTTTTAGGATTAATAGAACTGGTTCATCTCTGTATCTTAATAAGTATCCATGGAATACAGGTAATTAAGAACTTAAGATTCATACAATTAAAATTAATTTTCATCTTTTTATTTTTTCTGTCAAATTTGAGGACCATTTTCTTTGTAATCAATCTTTCAGAAGCAAATCTTCTCTTCCTTGAATCACCAGCTGGAGTTGGATTCTCCTACACAAATACAAGCTCCAATCTTAAAGATTCCGGCGACAAGCGTACAGGTATATCATTTCAAGGTAGATGCTCACATTATAAGAAAGTAGGAAGCTCTTTATGAGAAATCGTAAACCGTATTCTAACTTTGTATGTGTAGTAATACTCTTTCTATTCACAATTCTTTGTCAAGACATAATTAAATCCGAACCAGAGAAAAATTATCGGTAAGCTTTCAGTTTATCCTAATTATGGTTGCTGATTTGTCAAACAGCTCAGGATGCTCTGATATTTCTCATTAGGTGGATGTCAAGATTTCCACAATACAAATACAGAGAATTTTACATTGCTGGGGAAAGTTATGCAGGTTCATAAGCAAAACTAACAATCAAGAATAAGATTTTACTAGCTCTGAAATAATCTTCGGAAATTTGACATTCAGATTCTGATATATTTTTTCAGGGCATTATGTTCCCCAGTTGGCCAAGAAAATCATTGATTATAATAAATCGTATTCGCGCCCCATCATCAATTTTAAAGGATTCATTGTAAGTGTAATATCAATTGAGTCTGACAGGACATCCGTATCTGAGAAAATCCACTTATATGAATTGATAGTTTGAAATGATTCATGTATGCAGGTAGGAAATGCGGTTACAGACAACTACTATGACAGCATTGGAACGGTTACATTCTGGTGGACACATTCGATGATATCCGATCAGACATATAAATCGATCCTTAAATACTGCAACTTCACAGCAGAGAACAGCTCTAAGGAATGTGATGAAGCTGTAAATTATGCAATGAACCACGAGTTCGGAGACATTGATCAGTACAGCATTTATACACCATTTTGTATGCAACTTCGTAATGAAACTACAAGGTCTCTGAGGCTGAAAAATACTCTTTTGAGGAGAAGGGTTTCTGGATATGATCCTTGTACTGAGAATTATGCAGAAAAATACTATAATCGACCAGACGTGCAGAAGGCATTGCATGCGAATATTACAGGAATTCCATACAAATGGACAGCATGCAGGTATTCTTCAACTTTCTGAATGAACGTATAAGCTTTCGTTAAGAGTTTTGCGATTTTGTTGTGATTTTTTTTTTTTTTTTCTCTTGTTGGCAGTGATATTCTTATAAAAAATTGGAATGATTCTGAAGATTCTGTGTTGCCAACATACAAAGAGCTGATTAAAGCTGGTCTCAGAATCTGGGTTTTCAGGTAAATTTCATGAGATAATTTTGTTTACTTTCCAAAAATGGGATATCTATGTTATTAAACATGATCTCCTGAGAGATGAATTCCAATTGGTTTTTTCTCAAATGCAGTGGAGACACAGATTCAGTGGTACCAGTGACAGCCACAAGGTTTTCTCTAAGCCACCTCAATCTGCCAATCAAAACTCCATGGTATCCTTGGTACTCAGGCAACCAGGTACATATACACAACGTATTTCACAAGTATAAATACTTTAAAATATATTTTCTACAACGAAAATCTTCAGGATAGACATATAAGTAACCCGAGACCTAACAGCCACTAACAGGCATACAAGTGGTGTGTATGTATAGGCCTAGCATGATGACTTGTCTGTGCGCCCATAAAGACTTTTTCTGTCTTAAATAGAAGCTAAAATCAGTATAAAATCAATATTTTTGACAGGTTGGAGGCTGGACAGAAGTTTACCAAGGGCTTACATTTGCTACAGTGAGAGGAGCAGGCCATGAAGTTCCATTATTTCAACCCAAGAGAGCTTACATTCTTTTCAAATCATTCTTGGCAGGAAGAGAATTGCCAAAATCGTGACACATTTCTGGGAGAAGATAACTACAATTTTAGTGCATAACATCCCTATAAAAATTATGGGTGAAGCCATTAGACTAGGAATGATTCATTCAAATTGGTATTTGTATTAATGCGTTTGTTGTGTTATAGCTGAAGCACTATGAGAATTCATATGAAACTGAGTCATCAATTGTTTAATTAGTCGATGGAAGCAAAAGAAAGATCCAAGATCTTTTCTGTTATATATTGTGTACACAAAACAGCCTCTTGTGTGCATCACTTTTGCAATTTGACATTAAGCAAATTATAAGCTTAACCTCTCTCCTTCATCAATGACAATGAACATAAAGCACTCCAAATTTCACATACTAAAATAAAATCTGCATTTCTTAAAGTAGTTTTGCCGGTAATTTTTCAAATCAAAATGCAGAATATGCGACAATTATGCCACTGTCCATCCTACGCTGAAATTGTTTTGCCTCTACATTATCATAAATATGTTTCACAAACAATTTCAAATTTCCAATAGTCACAAAGTTGACAGAAAATGGCAACCTACTTTCATTGAAAACAAAAAATGATTGATAATCCTTTTATAAACAATCAATGAATCACTAAAATGATGGAAACAAACTATCTTTTTAAATCTCCGGAAACCAAATAGCCAACATTCATCTCCTATGGGGTTCAAAGTTGTATCGAGCAGTTGAATTGATCAGTGCAACATCCAGGTATTTTTTGGCGACATAAAAAAAAGATGACAAGTTCCAAATAGTTCAACTTTTCAAAATTTAAGCCAGTACTAAATTAAACTGAATGTAAACGATAAGATCACTGCAGAAATTATCACTTCAGCCTGGTATGTATACAAAATTGAAGCTTAGCTCAGATACTAGTGTAAGGAATACTCTTACTTCAACCCCTCACTTAGGCCTTGTGGCATTCCTAAGCTCTGTGCAAGATCACCCATTCTTTCTTTCATGGCCTGAAAAAAAGTCAGGAAGCTCGATGATTAGCTCAGTAACAACAAAGGATAAGTGGATTTGATTCTTCTTATTACAAAAATCGGGAAATTCTAACCTGAACACTCTTCTGATGTGCATCTTTGTATGCCTCAGTAACTAATAGTGAAAGTTTCTGCATATAAAAGATTAACAAGTAAATCATGGTTTCCTCTAAACTTCACAGAAATCACCAAACCATTTTCTTAAGTGGGGAGCTTTATGCAACAACATTAACCGCTTTCAGAAACATAGAGTATCATTTAAATACATAAACCTTTATATATTATTATCTCATCAACAATCTTCCATATCAGTTATTTGCCATGCAAGTTTACAATTACGATGGATACCATGCAAGTTTACAATTAAGATGGATACCTCATCCAAGATTCAAGCATGAAGTTCCTTTTCAGCTAAATCATTTAACCACTGCAGACTTGTATTGCAGATATAATGTGTCAAAAAAAAAATGTTTCTTTCAGCTCTTAGACACATAAGATTATAGTCACACATGCTTTTAACCATCGTGTGAGTGACATTACACTGATACAAGAAAAACCTTGATTAATAAAACAGAAAAAGATTTGAGTTAATATTATGTACTCACCTCTGGACCTAATTCCATAGCAGCCTCAGTGATCTCTGTCCGAACTGGTTGCTGATTGCCAGATAATGTTACCTAAAACATAAAATCAGTGGAAAACTGATGAGACCTGGGTGATGAGGGTGTAGGAAAGGACAAATAGAGTAGCAAGTAGTGGATAAAAAGGCAAGGACAGGTGGCAATTGTTGGCTGAACAGGAGAGGAATTCGGTTATGGAGAGAGAGAGAGCGAGAGAGAGAGAGAGAGAGAGCTAGAGAATAAAAAGAGAGAAGAGAGCAGATGCTTGGCAGAGAAGAAATAGAAGGAATTGGAGGAACTAGCCCTTGGAGTCTAGTATTTTAGGGAGGAGCTGGCCCTCGAAGTCCAGCACTATTTTGATTTCTTTGTTTGAGTTTGCTGTTCATTTTGATTGTGCGGCTAGGTAGTGTTTGCTAGTCCATCTATCTGTGTATTTTGTTTGCTGGAATATCAATACAAGTGTATTATTTTCATGGTTTTGGCTACTGATTTGTGTTGTTTTCTGGGTTTATATCGATTGTTGGTTGCTGTTTCTGTTGTTGGTTGGCTGAATTGGGAAAGGTATCTATCAAAAACTTTTGCCAAATTTAATATAAAGACAATCTGAAATACAAAAAGCTTCATGGCAGTTTCCTCTATTTTCTGTCATTAATACATAGCAATATTTTTCTTGAGATGGAAAACATAAAAAATCAAGGACTATGGCACCAGATATTTCTGTACCATCTGAAATTAATAATAGCATCGTAACTAACATATAGACTAATGCATCGAGAGTAACTACTACAAAAAGATAAAGCAAAGTGAAACTAAAGCTTTAAAGTAAGTAAACACAAAGGGCTTCTGAGAATTTTAAACAAAGTGAATGAGCAAATAGAACTATACAGTACCAAAGACAGAGAGAGAGACTAACATACCTTAATTAGTTCACCTTCACAATAACCATCAAACTCTGCTCTGTAATACAAAACAATAACATGGAATTTATACCAGCCAAACGAAACTGTAAGTTCAGAGCAAAATGGATTCAGTAACAACATACGCAGCTAGTTCTTTCTGCACCCGCACAGCCTCGACTTGGACGACCATTTGTGCCTTTTTCACCGTCTCATAAAGATTCTGCATATTTCCAAGAATTCCTGCCTAAAATCAAACAGAAGGAAGAATGTTAGTCTCAATGTGTAGATAAGAGTACCAACAGAATCCATCATGCAAATAAACACACAACACGAAAGAGAGCAAAGAAATAGTACTAAAGCAAACATTAAGATCAAATGCATTATTCAAAGATTTTGGTCAACAACTTAGACAAATATACATATCAGTATATCAAGGAGAATTCTAGGAGGCTTAAGTAAAATAAGTCACATGATGCAGTATTTCTCTGTACGGCTTAATTGACACTTAAAACAAGGTTGCTAAAATTAAGGCCCTAAAAATAATATGTGACCCATATCTGCACAATATGCATCTTTTCCAAATATGCACATAAATATCATTCAAGCCAGCATATAGAGCACACATAATTTTAGCAAAATCTTCTGATTGGATGAAAAAGTTAACATAATTAACCTTTGAAGGCGCATCATCACTGTTATCGTTATTGTCTTTCTTCCCCCCAAATAGACCATTTACACGGAGAGATCTTAAGTTATGTCCAGGTGTCTGCCGACAAGACCATGAACAGACCTCCTTGCCAGCTAAATTTCCACTTGAACTTAAGTTACCTGGAAGTAGCAGTGTAAGAACACCACATAAGCAATTTGTCTCACATCATAATAAAAAAAATGAATAAATAAACTAATATGCAACATCAAAACACAAACAAAATACAAATTATACAAGACACCATTTTAGTAGCACAAGTTGATTGGTAAATGGCCGGGTCATAACCTTCTACAAACCATTTTATGAAACAAATCGATCAACAAAGACAAGTTCATAGTACAAAAAACATCTTCCCTCGAAAAACCATACAAAAACACAAACTTTATAACTCCACAACCGCCTCAAGGCCCTGAACATAAACAAAAAAAACTTACAATTTCCTTCATTTTCCAAAAATATATCCATACCGATACCTCGCAATTCAATCATTCCCAAATGCATACTTCAAAACCCATCTGAAATTACCTTTTTTCACACTTTTACAACAAAAGTTCCTCACTTCCACCAAACTCAACAACATAATTCATACTTTTTTTATCATTAATTAAACAAATAAATAAAAACCAAACAGAGAACATATTCAAATGGGTAATTTACAAAACAATCATTCCCCAAATGCAAACACAAAAACCATCAAAAGTTCCTCACTTTTAACCAAACTCAACATAAAAAGTCATAATTTCGCATCATTAAAAAACCAAACACATAACGTATAAAATATTCAAATGGGTAACTTAAAAAAACAAAATTTCCCCAAAAGTAAACCTCCAAACCCATCAAAAGTCCCCATATTTTCAAAAGATTCTCACTTTTAACCAAACTCCACACAAAAATTCATAACTTTTACCTCACTAAATAATAAATAAAACAAAAATAATAATAAAGAAGAGAGAGAGTGTGTTACTGGGTGAGAGCGAAGAAAGGAAAGGCTTCTTCCATTGAAGATTAGAAATCTGAGCGGTGACAGAGCTCGTCGACGCCATGGAAAATTCAGAAAATTTTGGCTATTTTTCGACTGACTTATAATACTGTAATGATTTTTTTTTGTGAGATAGAGGTGAGATTTTTAATTTTTTTTAGTTTTTATTTAATTCTGAGTTTAGGTTAACTGTAGTTGCAGATATTGTAAATGACAGCCAGTTGATGAATGACACGATAGCTAAAAATTGCCATGTCAGCACTCTTTTTTATGTTGATTTGGAAATTAGGTAAGAGGTTTTAATAGAGAAAATATGTAATTTTATAGGGTGCTTTTGGTTTATTATTTTGAATAGGATTTTGGGAATAATATTGAGTAGTTGGATAGGGGGTATTACGAGGTGAAATTTAAAAATTTATGAAAAAGCCTCTAGGTTTGCTAATTTAATTAAATACCCTAATATATAAAATGACAAAAACACCCCCACCACTTGCAGTGCCAGATTCTGGCCACCACCGTCGGAATCTAGCCAAAAAATCGCCTTAATCTGTGTCGTAACGCGTCCTTATGGCCTTTTCCGGCCATATCCACCACGGATCTGGCCGGAAAAGGCCAGATCTATGACCTGTTGTGGTCGCGACGGCCGGAAAAGGCCAAAACGACTGCCAAAGATATGGCCGTTGTTTTCGGTCAACGATGGCCAAGATTTAGCCGTCGTTCACGGCCAGATCGGTGAACTTTCGGCCATTTCTGGTCGGCAGGTAGGCCGTTGTATAGATTCTGGCTACCACCGATGGTGGTTGCCAGAATCTGGCAAGTTTGGGTTTTGACTTTTGAGGGTGTTTTTTGATAATTTTTAAACCTTTTTTTCAGGGTGTATTTAATGAAATTAATAACCTTATGGGGTCTAAAAGTAATTAAAAAAATAAGGTAATATTTCTGGAATAATGCGCCAAATATTATTTGGAGAATATGATTGGGAATATTGGCAGAAATAATAAGCCAAACATGCCCATAAGTATTTATAATTCTCTATGTAATTTTATTAAATTTTATAAGCATTTATAATATAATAATGCTTATAAAATTACTCCCAAAGTTTAATTTAATAATAAAAATTCTTTCTAAATTTCAGAAATAACAAAAATTATATTATCGCTAATATAGTATTATAGTTTATAACTCTCTTTATAATTATTTTAATATAAAAAACTTAACATAAAGAGATTTCTATTATTATTAAAAATAAAAATTGTTATTTAATTATACCACAAAGAAATTTATCCTTATAGTTATAAACCCTTTAAATAAATCAGTTAACTTATATGGTTATGATACTCCAAACCAAGTATTTGAGCTGACATAAAAAGCCCATGGGCTTACATATTTTAGTCCATGGGCTTTATATTAAGAATTTAGTTTCCATTTTTCTCTATTTTTGATAATTAAGAATTTGATCTATTATAAATTTTTAATATGATAATTGGGATTGATTCTTTGGGCACTCTTTTTTTATTCTTCCTCTTATTTTAAAATAAAAATTAAAAAATAATCCGAAGTCTATGCCTTACTTTTTAGGGAATTGAAAAGTTGGTTCATTGTTTGGCTTGTTGCCCATTTTTGAATAAATCCAAGCCAACGGTCAAACTTATGTTTAACCAAATTTTGTTGAAGATTGAATTTTAATTTTATTCAAACCCCATGACCAAAAGGATGCTTTGAATATAGTTTATAACTTTTGAATTTATTGATATGACGTTGATAAAAAGATGTTTACGTAAATATTTTAGATTTTACAACCGTTATATAATTATATAAACGATGTATACCAAATCAGTTGTTGCATTATAACTATCTGGTGATTAATATGATCTTGTTGCAGATTTAACATTTTTTGGTAAATTTTGAGAATCCTCGAAAAGATTTAAAAATATTAGATAGATCTAAATTGATACATTCGATTATGATATTGTTACAACTTGATGGTACGAAAAGACGAAAGCGGCGTAAACTATTCTACACTTTTATAAACACAAACACGATAACAAAGTGCCATGTGAATCATGCAACCCATTAAGCTTAAATAATCAAAGTTAATTTATCAAATCCAAAAGTTGGCCAAACAAGAGAAAATCTGGCAACATAACTCAGTCACATGTCCATGTCACATAAAATTGCAAAATCAAATGCGATTAACAGATAAATAAGTAAACAAATGGAGCAAATGGGCATGGCAAAGACAAAGAAAAAGGCCAAAAGAAATCTCTCTCTCTCTCTCTCTGTGTATCTCTAAGCTGATACGAATATAAACATAATGCGGCCAAATTATATTACGCATCTGTTTCTGCACAATTTTTCTGAAGGTTTATGGAGTTCTATCAATTATTTACTCTTCCCAAACTGAGCACCGACATGATTTTACAGAGTAGAATCATATTTCAGGTTAAACCCAGCAGGCTTTTTTCACTTTTTTATTTTCTTTTTCTATTTTTACCCATTCTCTTCAGCTTCCCACGGCCTGGAAGTTTTATGTACTGAAGTTTTACCCATTTCAACTGTTGTTGTTATTGGCACTTATAAAAGAAGGAATCAGATGGTTTTTAAAGCAAGAGATGGACTCAATAAGATGAGTTATGCTTATAGTTTAGACGGATACATGTACATTCAATCTTATTAAAGACTTTTTGCTTCAGACAATTTTTTTTTTTTTTTTTGTTTTTTGATTGATTAAAAGTATCTAGACTAGTTTATATATATTTTAACTAATCCTTCAAATTTCTGAAATTAACGATCGAATAAATCTGTTACGAGGATTCGAACTCAAAAACCTATATTAGAACCCTTTACTCTTTTTCCACCAAACCTTCTAATGATGATTGCTTCAGACAATTTCCATGAATACAACTTTTATGTAATTGTTATTCAATATCTTAACCGATTCACTGAATTTTTGTTAGTAAGAATTGATTAATCAATTCTGTTTATTGGCACTTGCAAAAAGAAGGTGTCAAATGATTGTTAAAACAGCAGTTGTATTCGTTAAGATGGGTGGGTGACCGTGAACCACGTTTGGTAATGTAGCCTACATTGATTACAAGACTACTACATATACACCTGTCTTATCAAAGATTTTTCTCTTCACATCTTGTATAGGCACAACTTATTTGTAACTGTTGCACCATTATTAATCGATTCATTTAATTTTCGGTTACTACAATTTGATCAATCTAATAAATAGGTAAGATTCATAGCGTAATAAATTTTCTATACCCTTTTAATGTCTTCAGTAGATGGGTAACAATTACCTATGAATGTTTAAATGGTTTAATAGGGACTCTTTAATGTATAATTCAAGAGGTTCTGAATTTGAATCTTTTCCTCCTCAATTTTTAATAGGAATAATCATTGGAATTCTTACCCGACTGATAGTTTTAGAGTCCTGAGAGATTCTAAGAGATTAGTTGAGATGCACGTAAACTATTTCTAATACTCTAATATTATGAAACTAGCATTTCAAAGGTATTAGTACTTATACAGATATTATGACTAGTCTCGTACTTATACACCGTACGAATCATACGCATCTGTATCGGATCCAACCACAATATCTCAAGTCAAAGAACTACATCATGCACTGATATAACCAAATGATAAATCATTGACTGTATGCTTTTCCAAGTGATTTATCGTTATTTGGTCATGTTTGAAAAATAGTTCATCAACTGCTAATCCATACTAATGCCCCAATGACATGACTATCATCGTCATCCGTACTTATATCAACTCATGATATCTTTCAGAAGCATCTAGTATATGGTACGCCTACTATGCAATATAGTTGTTCAAATTATATTATTTCCGTAAGGAACCTTTTGATAAATTCATTTACTGATTAAATGAATCATCTGAAAAATTCATATACATACTTTATTTTAAATGCATGATTGAATAAATGAAACAATTTATATATATAAATTGAAGAACTATTTCTTCTCTTATCTATGATATATTGATACAAAACAAAATGATTTGAAACCGACAATATAAACAATTTCTAGGACATACACTAACATTTCCTAAGAGACTTGTCCTATTAATTAGATAAATAAGTTGGATTCGGAGAGTAATTCACAGTACAATATAGATAAGGGAGATAATAGTTAAGATTTCAACTTCGTACTAGGTTTCTCAACATAAAGCACAACCATGAAACAATATAGCTCAAATCAACAATAATGGAGGAGGGTATAGGCAGGTAGAGTGGTGTCACACATAAAACTCAAAAACTCCAGAAGACAATCCAAAAGGTAGGTGGTGATTAGGTGTTGATAGCAACCACAAGAGCAATTACTCAAAAGCTAAATGCCAATGGCAATGGCAATTTCACCTTTAACAACAACTCATATTCATTATTTTGTTCATGCACCAAGGATTGACTGCAAATTCCCCCCTGGACTGCAGCCCCAATTGGGAAATTGCTTATAACTTTTGACAGAAAAGCTAATGTAGCTTAAGGGTAAAAACTGAAAACAGAAAGGGAAGAAAGAGAGAGAGAGAGAGGGGGGGAAGGGGGGTGGAAATCTTGAGAACAAAGGAACCAAAAACAAAAAGGGGTATTGAAGGGAATTCAAAAGGTTGAATTTTAAAAGGAGAAATCTCTCTCTCTCTCTCTCTCTCTCTCTCTCTCTCTAGTTGAAAGGCAATCACAACCATCTCTCAACAACAAAGGCAAAGCACTATGGGATTGAATAGGAAAACCTATAAAAAAGGTACAACCAACAACTGCAGCCAACAACAACAACAGCAACAGCAACAGCAGAAGAAAACAGCATCATCCAAATATTATCTCNTTACCATCAAACTATCCAATAGTGATTGTTTTGGACAATTTCCATGAATACAGCTTTTATGTAATTGTTATTCAATATCTTAACCGATTCATTGAATTTTTGTTAGTAAGATTTGATTAATCTAATAAACAGATGGATATCATAATCAATTCTGTTGATTGGTACTTGCAAAAAGAAGGTGTCAAACGATTGTTAAAACAGCAATTGTATTCGTTAAGATGGGTGGGTGAACCACGTTTGGTAATGTAGCCTACATTGATTACAAGACTACATATACACCTGTCTTATCAAAGATTTTTCTCTTCACATCTTGTATAGGCACAACTTATTTGTAACTGTTGCACCATTCTTAATCGATTCATTTAATTTTCGGTTGCTACAATTTAATCAATCTAATAAATAGGTAAGATTCATAGCGTGATAAATTTTCTACACCCTTTTAATGTCTTCAATAGATGGGTAACATAATTCTCACGAATGTTCAAGTGGTTCGATAGAGACTCTTTAATGTATGGTTTAAAAGGTCTGAGTTCGAATTTTTCCCTCCTCAATTGTTAATAGGAGTAGCCATTGGAACTTTTATCCGACCGATAGTTTCAAAATCCTAAGAGATTCTAAAAGATTAGTTGAGATGCGCGTAAACTATTTCTAATACTCTAATACTATGAAACTAGCATTTCAAATGTATTAGTACTTATAAAGATTTCATGACTAGTCTCGTACTTATACACCATACAAACCATACACATTCGTATCGGATTCGACCACAATGTCTCAGGTCAAAGAACTAGATCGTGCATTAATATAACCAAACGATAAATCATTGACTACATGCTTTTCTAAGTGATTTGTCATTATTTGGTCACGTTCGAAAAACAGTTCATCAACTGTTAATCCATACTAATGCCCCAGCGACACAACTATCATCGTCATCCGTACTTATATCAACTCATGATATCTTTCAGAAGCATCTAGTATGCCTACTATGCAATATAATTGCTCAAATTATATTGTTTCCATAGGAAATCTTTTGATAAATTCATTTACCGATTAAATGAACCATCTGGAAAATTCATATACATACTTTATTTTAAATGCATGATTGAATAAAGGAAGCAATTTATATATATGAACTGAAGAACTATTTCTTCTATTATTTATGATATATTGATACAAGACAAAATGTTACGAAATTGGAATGATTTTTAGAGCATACACTAACATTTACTAAAAGACTTGTCCTATTAATTAGAAAAACAGTTTGGATTCGGAGAGTAATTTACAGTGCAATATAGATAAGGGAGATAATAGTTAAGATTTCAACTTCGTATTAGGTTTCTCAACATAAAGCACAACCATGAAACAATATAGCTCAAATCAACAATAATGGAGGAGGGTATAGGCAGGTAGAGTGGTGTCACACATAAAACTCAAAAACTCCAGAAGACAATCCAAAAGGTAGGTGGTGATTAGGTGTTGATAGCAACCACAAGAGCAATTACTCAAAAGCTAAATGCCAATGGCAATGGCAATTTCACCTTTAACAACAACTCATATTCATCATTTTGTTCATGCACCAAGGATTGACTACAAATTTCCCCCTGGACTGCAGCCCCAATTGGGAAATTGTTTATAACTTTTGACAGAGAAGCTAATGTAGCGTAAGGGTAAAAACTGAAAACAGAAATGGGAAGAAAGAGAGAGAGAGAGAGAGAGAGAGGGAGGTGGGTGGAAATCTTGAGAACAAAGGAACCAAAAACAAAAAGGGGTATTGAAGGGAATTCAAAAGGTTGAATTTTAAAAGGATAAATCTTTCTCTCTCTTTCTCTCTCTCTCTCTCTCTAGTTGAAAGGCAATCACAACCATCTCTCAACAACAAAGGCAAAGCACTATGGGATTGAATAGGAAAACCTATAAAAAAGGTACAACCAACAACAACAGCAACAGCAACAGCAGAAGAAAACAGCATCATCCAAATATTATCTCTCTCTTGCCCACCTTATTAATTTTCTTTTCTTTTCTTTTCTCTCTCTAAAACAAAAACAAAAACAAAGTAAGCAGAAGCATGGAAACACAACCCAACACAAACACATCACAACCAACTACTATAATCTATCTATCCATCTTTCTTCAATGGCCCAGCTGGACAAAAGGCTATGTAGAAGGAAAACAAAAAAGGAAGAAAGAAATGGGAAAGAAAGAGAAGATTTATATGGTTTTCAAAGGTCCTCCAACCAAACCCACCTCACAAAAATCTCTCTTTCTCTCTCAACAACAACACATAACTCACGAAACAAAAATGATACCTGAAATGCCCTTCTGCAACCCCCCAAAAAAAATCCCATCTTCATCACTGTCTATCTTAACTCTCAAAAGAAAAGAAAACATTTTTTTCACCGAAAATTATGTGGGCTTCTTTGGGTTTTCTTTCTTTGTCTTGGTCAGAGTTTTCACAGAGAAAACAGGAAAGCAAAGCAAAAACAAGAACCTTCCTCTCTCTTCCTTCCTTCTCTATTTTTCTTTCTTTCTTTCTTTTCTCTCTTCAAACTTCTCTCCTTTTCTTCATTTTTCTCTCTTCAAGTTCTCTCCTTTTTCTTTCTCTTTCTTTCCCTCTTCTAGTTTCCATCTCTTTGTGATCCCATCATGAAGAAGATGAAGGGTGTTGTTGGTGGAGCATCTATGGAGAAATCCAGAGGGCCTTCCTTTTCTGTTTATAAGGACCCAAGAGCCAGGTTTAGGCATCAGAGTCTCATGCAAGACTATGAAGAGTTGTTAAAGGTATCACCTTTGTTGGGTTTGTGATCTTATTTTGTGGGTTTGATCCGATCTGTTGCTGTTTTGTTTTATTTTCTTTGATGGGTTTTCTTCTGTTTTGGTTTTGGAAGAAAGAGAGATCAGGTCTTTGTAAGATTAAAAATTGATTTTTATTTTATTTTTCTTGTGAATGTTTTCATTTGTTTTGCTTGAGCTTTGTGGCCTCTGCTGAGTTAGTAAGGAAGAAAAAAAATGAAATTTTGATCCTCATGCTCTGATCTCTATTGTTAAATTGCTTTGCCTAAACATCCAAAAAGCCAGAAAATAAGAATGAAAATTAATGACTTCTATGTTGATGTATTGAAGCTTTGAGACTCATTGAATTTGACATAGCATCCAATAGAAAATATTGGGAAAGAGATTATTTTTTTTTTCTTCTCTTGTTCTACGCCTTTGTGATTGCATGCTTCCTGTTTATCATTTGTGGATATGATTTGTTGAAAGCTTTCTTCTACTTTGTAGTTTACTGAGAAATACAATTATTCTGTATGATTTTTGTTATATAAATTTTTTAGGTCCATTTTGATCATCTCCTATGTGTCCTCTTTGTTATTCTCCTCCTTTAGCTTTGTTTAATTTAGGTTGCCATAGATGTGTTTAAACTGTTAAGCTTTTTGCAGGAAACGGAGGCGATGAAGAAGAAATTGCAGATGATGAAGCAGAAAAAATTGACCTTATCGAGTGAAGTCGAGTATGGTTTCATAACTTCAACTTTACAAACAAATTTACTATCGAATATGGTTACAAAGTGATAATTAAAGCTGTGTTTAAATTTCGAGTGTAGATTCTTGAAGAGACGGCACAAGTTCTTGATTGAAAACCAGTCTCCAAATTCTGCAGCCCAGCGAAACGCCGTGCAAGCTTCGAATTCTAAAATCCAAGGTAAAAAAATGGCAAAGGAAAGGAATTATAGCAGAAAGGAATCCGCTTTGCCACGTCCACCTTTAGGTTTTGATCTAAACCAAAAGGGAAAAATATACCATGAAAAGGAAGCTACTTTGCGAAACCTGGTTCCAGGTTTTGATTTAAACCAGAAGCTGAAGACTTACTACAGAAAGGAACTTCCTTTACAAAATCCCACACAAGTTCTTGACCTAAACAAGAAGGAGAGATTTTACAACCGAAAGGAAGCTGCCATGAACTCTACTCCAGTTTTCGACTTAAATCAGATATCGGTAATCTATCAGTAACTAACATGAATTACGAGCTTTATAATCATTTGTTACACTTTAACTGTGGGCTAATAACATTTGTTAATGCTACCCAACGGCAGCAAGAGGAGGAAGAGCTACAGTTCAGTGGCGAACAATGGAGGATTGAGGAACTGAGGAAAGGTTCAGCTAGAGGTGGAAGTGATGAGCAGCTCAATGACATGAAGCTATCAGCTTGTAGGAACGTTGGAACCGGAGCTAACCGAACGGGGAAGCGAAAGATTTCATGGCAAGACCAGGTTGCCTTGAGGGTTTGATTTCTTACTAGTTGTATGGCACTCTAAGGTTTTACATCTTGGTGGGCTTGGAAAGTTTACCTTGCACACTGCCTTATGATGATTACTTATCATTTTTCTTTCTCCTTTTGTCTTTTTCTGTAACTTTTTTTTTTTTTTTGGTTATATGTAAAGAAAAAACCTTAGTGTTATATAATGAATGTATAGATGGAAATGAAGGGGAATTGCTAGTCAGTTCAAGAATTAAATTTGTGCTCATTCTATCTATATCCTTTATCAGTAGTGAAGTACAAGAAAATTTGGAATTGGAATCTTGACAGAGTGTTGAATTAGAATGATATTTTTTAGATTCCAGATTTTGTTCATTGTCTCATAGCTTTTGGTTCCTAAAAGCTTTGGTAAAGTAGTATTTTGGCAAAGCTATTTTTGTTTTTATTCTGTTCTACAGTTTTGTGAAATCTTATCAAACGGGTGCCGAAATTCTTTAGGCCTTACTATAGTCGATCCCTGTATATATGGGAGAATGACAATAACCACCCTGCTGATGCAGAAAGTGGTCTTGTTAGAGATGGCTTTGGGCAGCTGCCCAGGCTATGTGGCAATTCTGTATGGTCATTTTTGGCGAGATCATTTCTTAGACCAACAGGTGGCTATTATCATGTCGGCAAATATACGAAGGTTGACTGTAATAAAGCCGATTTTTCGGACCTTGATTTTCCTAAGCTTGATGATAATTTTTGCTAGTTTGATCTTTTATTCTTTGATGGCCGGCCTAGGCAACCCTAGAAGAAGAATTTAGTACATGGAATCTTACAAGAGAAGAGAAGAGATGAGATATGTGGTAAGGCTTTGTTGTGGGACTGCAAGAAGTTTCCACAATTGTTTGTTCGCAATTGGATGGAGCCTTAATCTTAATCTTTTATTCTTTGATCTTTGTTTGGTTGTGATGCTGGCCATCAAGCAATTGCTATGAAAGAATCTCACTTCATTTCGTACTACTGCACAAATGGGGCTTTCTCTTTTGCTTATATAAATGTCCATTGGAATATTGTAGAAGCATAAATGGAATATTTTAAATAATTCTTGCCAACAACATTTTCAAAGTAATTGGGCTCAACTGTAGTACCTAATTGATAATGTTATTTGTTGATGAAAACCCGGTAGAGTAATAGACCGACAACATTATAAATCATAATATTATTAATCTATGAAAACCGTCAAATCAACATCTGGATCTAATAAGTAATATCTTGAGCAAAATGATTTCAAATGAACATAACCGAAGACTTTGCACAGCCTTTCTTGAGCAAAAATGATTTCAAATGAACATAACTAAAGACTTTCGCTAGCTTTGCTTTAGCTTAGAGCTTTGGTTAATGCCAATTGACAAGATGGATATCCAATCTCAGCGTGTGCACTGCCCAATTGACACGCTTGCCAAAATGCTATGATGTTAGATCATCCCCGAGAACATTATTAAAGTTTTATGGAGACTAAGCTGTGTAATGGCTTCTTTTCGAACCAGAAAGTTATGAAGGAATCAATTCCATGATGATGAAGATAACGGCACGAGAAAAAAGTGCCATCTTTATCGTCATCCTCGTGATGACACTGAGTAAGAACATTATAAAATGACCCTTGTGAGAGAAACAATTGGAAGTAGTTCTAAAGCAGGCAGAGATTCTAAAGTGGTAACTTTTACACTCTTGGGGAGATCGAAAATATTCAACATGAGACTTGATGGATAAAAGCAGATAAAACATTGATTCTTGTTTCAGCCAATCTGATCGTTAATAAGTTTGATTTCCGGGTTCATTAGTTGTTGCGGGTAACGCATCATCACGTTTGAGAAGTTAAACTTAGATACATACAAAGTAACTAGCACAACTCTAAACATTTCTTGGAAAGCAGTACCTTGGGTGAACCATGGAGTCTGTTTCATCATGCATGCTAAATTTCGCTCTTGGTTAATCTTCGTAACTGAGTTCTCCAGCAACAATTTTTGTTGTTTCTACATTGCCGTCATCGGCCACTGCATCTACTACATCACTTGCCTTCTACGTAGGCTCTGGTGACATGCCAGCATCTAAATCACCCGTCTTCCCAGCAGCCAAAGTAATGCAGTTGCATCAGCTACTTCACCTGCCTTCTCAGCACACTCTGGTGAAGCAACCCGAACAGTTACATCACTTACCTTCTTGGCACGCTCTGGGGATGCACCAGCAGCAGCAGTTACATCACTTGCCTTCTCGACACACACTGGTGATGCAAGGGTATCCACATCGCTGGCCTTCTCAATAGGCTCAACTGCATCTACATCACTTGCCTTCTCAATAGGCTCTGGTGATATAGCTGCTCCTACATCACTTACCTTCTCAGTAGGCTCTAGTGATGCAACCATGTTTGTGGTGATAGTGGTTCTGGTATTTTTACTGGGTACAGCTTCACGGATTTTATGTTTCTGAATCCGAAACATGTGCTTCTTCCCATTCATATGAGTCTCCATCACTACTTCAGAGTAAGCACCAACCTGACATATTTCACACCAAAATTTAAACTTCTTCCTCCTAGCTTCAGGTGTTTTTTCAACTTTCCCCACGGTTGATACCCCATTTTTCTTCTTCTTGTTTACTGCATTCCCGTTTTCCTTCTTCAGAAAGTCACTTTTCTTATTATTTAAATCTTTTCCATTCTCCATTTTCTGGTCTGAACCATCCTTCCTTTTTTTGATTTGAAGTGATTTTTCTTTTACCTTCATCTCTGGTTCTGAGCCAGATATAACTCTGGTCTCAGCAAACGTAATTGCCTTGACAGACTTTTGCTTTTTTGGCAATGACGCAGTGGAATTCTTTTGCTGCATCTTCTGAGTTCTCAGTGCTTTTTCCTTGGCCTTGTGCTTCTTACCTCGAAGGTGTTCATTTAAACCTCTCTCACTGGTAGCACTAACCTGACAAAGGGCACAACTCCACTCCTCAATTTTATTCTTCTTCAAACTCATTATTGGGAGCTCCCCAGCACCAGAAGGAGGTGTGGCAGCTTTCCGCTTTGCTCCACAGAAATTTGGCTCGGGCTTTGCCTGCAGCAGATACTCAACAAAGTACATAATCATTAAGTCATTATTACCAGTACCTCATAAATGGTAAAGCAGCAGCGATTTTTCCTGTGTCCACCATCAATGATACGTTTACAAGGTAGTATAAAATTCTATTTCAAGCCATAAATATGCTTTCAAAGAAAAGCCAAATCATACTGAGAAAACTTTATGTTCTTCTTAAGTAGAACTTCTCTCTTCTTGATCAACCAGCAAACATGTCGAGGCTCAGTCCTCTGTGCACGTGACATATCAACCAAGTAAAAACTATGACCAAGATGAGACAACCAACAGCGTGATTGTATTTACGACAGAGCAAGCAGAGATAGACAGTATGCTGAAAATTAGTCATTGATAAATTCACTCTTGCTTTACACATCTCCAAATTTATATCAAAGAAATCATATGAATCGCCGTGTTAAATATGAAGTGAGTTCTAAGAGATTTTCCCTTTATCCAATATGAGGTAATATTCACTCTCTTTTTGTTACATTTCATCTAAGAGATCATCTGAGTATCACATTGTTAAATACAATTTCAGTTCTGAACTTGCCATAGCATTCAACTGGACAAGATTCCTCCATACTAGTATATGGCCAAAGTACAAAACAGAACTTCAGGTTATAATAAACATAGTTCAACATCCCATAATTATAATAATTCAAAGAAAAGGTGCTACTGTTGCCTATTACAATTTTAGCTGAAACTTATAAATTCCATAATTAATTAGTTATCCATTCTGAAATTGTGCAACATATTGTCCAAGGTTATAATCATTATGGCCCAAGTTACTATGGGATAATATCTAGGGTTAAATGGACTATAACTTCAGATAGCATCCTGCAGTTCAAAAAATAAAAAGGCCATTCCAAGTAGTTTATATTTTAATGTTGTACTTCATATTGTCAGTTTAAACCTAAAATTTGAATCATTAGTTGCTTGAGTTGCTAGACAAGCTGGTTCTAATAAGCACAAGCCTAAAGACTTTTCGTAACTGCTTCTCTGACTAGGATTTGGATTACCTATTTGAGATAGATTATGTTTCTTTCGTTTGGCTATTACAAAACGACCTTGTGTAACTTTAGAAGAAGAAGCTTATAATCATTTTAAATAACAGAAACTCTAGTCTTTTATTCTCTCTCTCTCTCTTCTCTTTTCATATCCTCTATTTCTATCTCTTCTCTCTTTGGTTCTCTCTCCCTCTCCAGCTTTGTCCGTTTTCCATCTTCCTTTTTGAACCTATATCAATTGGTATAAGGGTGTAAAAGTGTTTTGACACCAAATGATATAGAATCAAGAAGAGGGAAAGGAAACAAAGACAGAGAATAGAACCGAAACAAAAGAAAAAGAGGAAAGAAACAAAAAGAGTGGACACAAAAGAGAATGAGAGAGATAACAAAGATTAGAGCTTCTGTATTATTTAAAATCAATCATTAACTCTTAGTTCCAAAATTACACAAGGTTCAAATTGGCCCAAAAGAAAAAACTTAATCTACCTAAAATAAGTAACCTAAATACTATTCAAACAAATAGTTCCATAATAAACTCCTAAATCTCTAAAAAAAGTGGAAGGGACAACACATGCATGGGTAGCATACCTGGATACGAGTAACATGTCGAAGGAGAGAACCACATTTTTGGCACGAATAAATTAAATCAAAAAAAGGCAAACACCTCATAATATACATATGTACATATAAAATTATGAAATTAATCAGACAAAGGTTTAAAAGAGAGTTACACAGCTAAAACTTCCTACCTCAGGATATGAATATACAAATTCCACCAAACTTGTATTAAAGCCAGATACATTAAAATGACAAACTCATCAAGAGACTACAAATCGTAAATTGCTAAATCTGAAAATGAAACTGGATACTCTAAATAGACAATAATACCAAGAGAATAAATATTTAAGAGGCTACATGAAAAAACAAGAAAAGCCATAAAACATTGTAAACCGCTTGATGGCACGCTTCCTAGTGTGGGACCTAAAAACAAAATCCCGCCCCATGAAACATGCAGTCAACAGAGAAAGAAAACACTCTACCAAGGAATTATTTGAGCGTACTAGTCTCCAAGAAAATTGACCAAATTTGCAGTAAGCCCAAAATATTTGAAATAAGAAATAAAAGAGCTACAAAAAACAGTATCATGCACATGCTTCCTACTTAAGCACCTGATTGTCCCAACTGCATAATAGTAGCAGGAGCAAAACAAACACAAATACATTCTTCAACCAAAATTGAAAAGAAAATCATTCACACCAAAAATATAAAAGCATGAATTAACTTTTTCTAAGCAAAACCAAACACTGACCAGTATAATCAACTTATCCTTCTTGTCAACCTCCAAGGCAGTCTTATTCTCATCTGTCATGGCATCCCCCAACTGTGGGAAGACAGGAGGCAACACCTCCATTCCCGGTCCCAAGCTGCGATTCCCAGGAAATGCTAGCCGATCCTGTAGCCAGCGATTGTTGAACTGGTGCACGAATGGGAACCTTGAATCAAGCCGCATTGTGAGCCTTTCTTCAATTGACAGCCCCATTTTGGCTTCTCTGTGCATTGCCATCTCTCTTTCCATCATCAACTCCCTCCTCACCTCCTCTTCAAGCATTCGCCGACGTATGTTTTCTTCAGCAATTATTTCTTGCCTGATTCTGTCCTTCTCAATCTCACGCTGGATAGTGTAAAAATCTCTTTGGTTTCCCATGAAACTGGGGGAAGTTGAGTAGTTAGCTGGAAGAGAACATTTTTGTTAGGTTCCATAATAAGATAGGTCTATTTGGATGCAGAGAATGATGGGGAAATGAATAAGTTTTGAAGCATGAAACCTTTTAAGAATCTAAAGGTTTTTTTTCCCTCTTTACTATTTCCACCTCTTTTTTCCAAGTAACTGAAACATGGATGTAATATCACTCAAATTTTTGGAAAAAATTAACATGAAATCTAATCTGCAAAATTATAACATTAGATGGAATTTTTCATTTTTACCAAATAAAAAGTTTGGATTTATTTGTGATAAAAATAAACATTAAATATAATAGAGAGGAATTGGAAAACCAAAATAATTTTTTTTCAGATACAATCTCAGAAAGAAAACTGTTTTTAAAACTCCTAACCAAACACATTTTCTTATAACTTTCAGAATCCATTTTTTCAAAAACAAAGAATAGCGTCTATGAGACAAATCATATAAACCCCAAATTTCTGGATCACATTTTCTCCTTCCTGCCTCCACAGCAGTTTTCTCAGCAACCAAACACTGATCAATATAACTCACTTTCAACAGAAAAACCAAATAACACCTCGTCGAACTAAATCTAATTCTACTAAATAGAATATCTCTCAAAAAAGATTGAGCTGAGAACACACAAAAAATTGCCTTCATTTATTAATTATACTCTAGGCCTCACATCAACAAACAGTGTTAAAATTCCACTCAAACCATTATATTGTAGAAATAATAAGATTTTAAATTGCGTCACCCCACATGCAATGTTGCAAGCAACTTTAATATTTATTTTAAGAAAACATATATTAACCATAATCATCTAAAAATCAATTAACCAAACACACTCAAATCAAAAATAAAAATAAAATCAATTTTAGCTACCTGAAATTTCGACATGCGACAGCTAAAAAAATTGAAAATTTCTTTTTCTTTTTCTTTCTCATTTTATCAGTAAACAAACAGTGATCAAAAGTAACTCAAAACATAATAATATATAAATAAACGAATAAGAGTTTCAGTGGAGTGAAACTACATGCAATACCTAAGATATTTTTCTAAAACCTAGTGAGATTTTGACAAGTGACACTTAAAAAGAAAGTTGAGAAAATATATATGTATAATTTTCTTTTATTTTTCCTTCTTGTTTTCTCGGCAACCAAACAGACTACAATGATAATGAAGACCGAGAAACAAAACTTCGAAGAGTACGACGGACCTCGCAATGCTTGCTCGGAGTAGTAACTGAAGCTGGAAGACGGCGGTAGATACGGCGGCGGTCTATCGTCGCCTGCTCGGAACTTGAACTCCATTAAACTTAATCACGAACCGCACGAACTGCACGTGAACCGCAGGGGGGATCAGAGAGAACTGTAGAGAAAAACAGAGTTTCAGACTCACTGATTTAGTGATTTTTATATATTTTATTATTATTATTATTATTTTTGCCGAGCTTTTGCTTTGAGAGAGTGAGTTGTATCAGTTTCAAATTCAATATAAAGAGGGTACGTGTAACTCACGCGTTAGAGTTGCGCTTACTCTTTTGGTTTGATTGAGTAATACTATGTGCACTAACTAATTTGTACTGATCCAAGTACTAATATTTAAAATTTAAAATTTCTCTCAAAAAAATTCAAATTTTCAATGTTAGTACTTGATTAATACAAATTGGTCAGTGTACATAGTATTATTCGGTTAGATATACGTTCAGAGATGCGTGCGTTGGAGCAGGGTCTCGTGCGATGTGCATGTCTGAAACAATTTAGATTCGGTAGTTGCAAGCACAGAGTTAAGAATCCTTTAGTTGAATCATAAGGTGTTCAAAAGAACCAGTTGGAACTAGAACCGGCGGATATCCTGGGTTTGGTTCCGGTTCCTACCTAGAACCAGTCATCAATGGGTAGGTTCTGGTTCCAAATTTTTGGAACCGTTACTGTGCGGTTCTGGTTTTGGTTCCTATAGTTAGGAACCGGAACCGGAACTGGAACCAGGAACCAAGAACCGAGACTAATATAAAATAAAATTAAAGATTAGAGGGGTTAATAAAAACTTTTGTAGAAAAAGTAATGTGAATACATTTATATTTATATTTCATAACATTTAAAGTAAGTTATTTTGACTTTTGAGAATTTACCTTTACAAAGTAACGGAGTTTATAATTTTGAATTTTGAATTTATAATTTGTAATTTTATTTTTGTTAATAAACGTCAAGTTGGGGGGGTATTTGTAAGTTTTTAAGAGTTTTTTTACCATTTTAAAAACTTTTGGGGGGTCATGTAATTTTACAGAGTACCCAGAACTGAAACCGGAACCGTTGTTACAGGTTCTGGTTCTGGGTATTTAGGAACTGGAACCGTCGGTTCTAGTTCTGGTTCCAAATTTCAAGGAACCGTCAGTTCTGGTTCCGGTTTCGGTTCTTTAAAAAAGTGCAGGGTACCTGAAACTGAACACCCCTAATTTTGGGTATGAAAATTGATGTATATGAGTATATCAAAATGGGAATTTGCTGTTTTACCTTTTTAATGGATTTTTATTTTTCAAAATTTAAACGTTTTAAAGTGGGAATCTTATCTCGTATCCTTTTGAATTTATTTCAATTATTTGGTTTTTATCATTCAGGTATTAAAAAATNTTTCCCTTTTCTATTCCATCTTTGAAAATTTAAAATTCATCCAATCTCTTCCATCTTTACTATCTCAACAACACTACTCCTTAACTCAGTGACAATGGCAACCCAAGAAGTGGAGAAGAAATCACAAGACACAGTTCTGGAAGAGTTTCATAAGCTGGCTGGGAAACTTAGGAAAGATGAAGAGGGAGCACACCTTCAGGTTCTACTCATAATAGTGGAGGACATGGGCCACATGCTTCATCCAAGCTGCATGGGGCCCTTATTCCAAGAGAAAGAAAATGGAACATTTACGAAAGGAAGAAGGAGAAGCAGAATTTTTTTTTTTTTTTAAGCCGCCCATAACAGATGGACGGCCGTCTCCAATATTTATAAATTTTTTTATTATATTTTATTTATGGACGAGCGTCCTTTAAATGGGGATATCCGTCCCTTGTATATGGATGTCCATCTATATAATATGGACGGACGTCCATGTGAGTGAACGGCCGTCCAAATTTGATGGACGGTCATTCACTAGAAAAAAATTGTTAAAAAAATTAGAGATGTATTATACGTAGGTCGGTATAATATTTTGATGCAAAAATTTTGATGTCCGTAACATTATTGATTGACTAATAGATGGCGCGTTAGCGGCACCACCATTTGGGATTAGCAGATGTCAATCCATTAGAAATCCGGTAGTTTCAACAAAAGTTTTTAGGGAGAACGACTTATACATACCCAATGTTTGTCGAAACGACAAGTTGGTACCCAAAAGGTTTTGAAACGACAAATGGGTACCTTCCATCATGTTCTGTTAGTGATTTTCGTTTGATAATAGTGAAAAGACTAAAATGCCCTTGAAAGTTTAATTTTTAGTTTTTTATAAATTTAAAAATTTCTAAAAACCCCCTAAGTTTGCTAATTTGACTAAATGACCCAATATATAAAAATNTGCGATTGCAATACTCTTTCTTACCTAGTAAGATGATAGGAGATTTCTTAGGTTACAACTTTCTCCTTCACCCAATCACATTGATAGTATTCTTAATTGGATCAACGACTTATTTCTTATCCTATCACATGATATTATGCGCCATTTTTCTTGATTAGTCTAACTCACCCTTTGATCGTTTCGAGGATTCTATATAATGAATAATGTGATTCAAAGGAGGAAAGTTCTATCAAACATCGGATTGTAATACTCTGCCTATCAACTTATGATATTATGTGCAACAAAACTATGTAATAATATCTCGAACGATCCAACTCACTCTTTATTTAATCATGTGACACATAACAGTTGACAGTATTCCTTACTTGTTTGCATCATCTTTGATTAATTTGTTATTTAAGAATATATTTATATTTATTATTATTCTTAAATAATAATAATAAAAATATAAATAAATTTATTATTATTTATATTATTCTTAGGTGTGTTTGTTTTGTTATTTTGAGTAGTATTTTTGAAATATTATTGATAAGTAGAATTGGGTGATTATTACGATGTAAAATTTAAAAATTAATAAAAAACCCCATAGGTTTGCTAATTTAACTAAACACTCTAATATATAAAAATTTTGTAAAATGATAAAAACACCCCCACCCACACACAACTACCAGATTTCGGCCAAGACCGTTGGAATCTGGCCGGAATATGGGGTTACAGTGCACGATTGGCCAAATCTGTCAATTCATGAGTCGATCTGACCTTTTCCAGTTAGATGTACCACAGCTTTGACCGTCAGCGACGACCAACTCTTAGTTGTCGTTGATGGCTAGATTGACGCATTACCGACTAGTTTCGACCAGTAGTGCATCGTTGTGATAGATTCTGGCCACCATCGACGGTGGTTTCTGGAATCTGACAACTATGACTGGGTGGGGGTGTTTTTGTTAATTAACAAACTTAGTGAGTTTAAAAATGATTTCTTAATTTAGGATATTATTTTAAAAATAGGGAAATAAACGCGCATTTGTATTTGGAATAGGACATGATAGTGGTGAAATAACGAAACAAATGCAAAGATTTATTTGTTGAATTTATTTATTTATTTTTAAAAAAATGAATAACAAGGCAAAACGACTTACACATACCCAAGGTTTGCCTAAACGACAAGTTGGTACCCAAAAGGTTTTGAAACGACAAATAGGTACCTTCCATCATGTTCTGTTAGTGATTTTCGTTTGATAATAGTGAAAAGACTAAAATGCCCTTGAAAGTTTAATATTTTAGCTTTTTATAAAATTAAAAATTTCTAAAAAACCCCTAGGTTTGCTAATTTGACTAAATACCCCAATATATAAAAAATTTATAAAATAACAAAAACACCCCCGCCACCCGCAGTGCTAGATTCCGGCCACCACCGTCGGAATCTGGTCAAAAAATTGTGTTACGACACAGACCCGTTGGATCTGTGTCGTAACGCGTTGATCTGGCATTTTTCGGCCTCGAATGCCAGATTTGGCCTAGATTTGGCCAGAAAATTCCAGATTGACATGTTACGACACAGATCCGACATGTCTGTGTTGTAACGCAATTTTCTGGCAAGTTCCGGCCTCGACGGCCAAATCTAACCGGAAAATGCCAGATCGATGTGTTACGACACAGATCTGACGGGTCTGTGTCGTAAAGCAATTTTTCGGCCACCACCGGTGGCCGGAATCTGGTACTGCGGGTGACGGGGGTGTTTTTGTTATTTTATAAAATTTTTATATATTGGTGTATTTAGTCAACTTACCAAACCTAGGGAGTTTTTAAGAGATTTTTAAATTTATAAAAAACCAAAATATTAAACTTTCAAGGACATTTTAGTCTTTTCACTATTATCAAATAAAAATCACTAACAGAACATAACGGAAGATACCTATTTATTGTTTTAAAACCTTTTGAATATAAACTTATCGTTTCGATAAACCTTGAGTATGTGTAAGTCGTTCGGGCTTAATAACAATTTACTAATTTGTTAAAGTAAAGAAGCAAAATGTCAAGCGAAATATAATCCAATCCTTCACGGGTTCACGCATTCACCAGAGGTCATTCTAAAATTACAAGTTTATCATGCCACTCGGAGTCCGATACCATTAAAAAATTTAAAACGACGCTGTATATTCCCCGCTTCAATCCAAAATATCTCTATCATTTAACGTGGAAGTTAACTCTTGACCCTTCAATTAAACAGAATTAAAGATAGATCTTTGCTGTTCGCTTCTCCATTAAGGCTTCACCTTTTCACAATTTGATTTCATCATCATCATCATCATCATTCGTAACTGTTTTACTCAACAAAACAAAAACATGCCTTCTCGTTGTGAAATTTTCTGCGAGATTTTGATCGCTATTTTGCTTCCTCCATTGGGAGTCTGCCTCCGCCATGGTTGTTGCACTGTACGGATTCCTTCTCTCTTGCTTTTCCTTTTTTAATGTCTTTTAATTTTTTAGGATTTCACGGAAAAAAAAGCAGCGTAATGAAGATTTCGAGGAGAATAGAAACTGCTTTCTTAACAGCCGAACGGAGCTAGATTTGTTCTTATATTTTGTTATGAACTAAAAAGAGCAGATTTAATCTCTATCGTTCTCCATTTTTTCAGTTAATCTTTTAATGTTTTGTTTTATTATTNCTTTTTATATATTGGGGTATTTAGTCAAATTAGCAAACCTGGGGGTTTTTTAGATATTTTTAAATTTATAAAAAACTAAAATATTAAACTTTTAAGGGCATTTTAGTCTTTTCACTATTATCAAATGAAAATCACTAACAGAACATGACGGAAGGTACCTGTTTGTCGTTTCAAAACCTTTTAGGTACTAACTTGTCGTTTTGACAAACCTTGGGTATCAATAAGTCGTTCGCCCAAGTTTTTACTACCAAATTGCATCTCGAAATCCGACGGAACCACCGGATTCCTATAGATCAACGTCTCTCAATCCCAATGGGACTGATGATGGCGCTAAACAGTGTTCAATGGTTGTTGACATGTCGTTGACTGGTGGTTGACCATCATTAGCGTGTCTCACTTTTTTTTTTTTTTAATTTATAAATATATTGTTAAAGCTCAATAAATTAATATCATTAGAAGCATAAAAATTTATTAATTAATCGATATATTATTTAATTATATAAATTAATAAAATTTTAATTTATCGATGTATTATGAAAAATGATAAAAAAGATAGTTATGAATTAGAGTCTGTCTCGCATAAAGATGCACTCAAAGTAGCAATTACATTGCATAATTTTCTCTTACAATACGAGAATATTACAACAAAACTTCTTAATGCACTAAGAAAAGTTAGATATGAGGTTTAAAGAGACATCAATTTAAAGAGGAAAGAAGCAACATTGGAAGATATTTTACAAAAAGTTTCTTAATTGTGTCATGTATATATACTTTTAACGTATAAAAAAATTATTAATTTATATATTAAGTAGTACCTATGTGTGTATTTTTTTTTTTTTAATGTATCAGCTTATAAATTTAGCGAATTATTAATTTACCATATTGGTCTCAAGTCGAGACCGCTAAAAATATTATTTAATCGAGGTTTAACAATATTATGAAATTATGTATTTAATTAATTACATTTTTATTAAAGTTCATTTTATACTGTAAGTAAATATGTGTGGCTACATATGACATTTTATAATGTAAAATCAACTTGTAGATTAATTTGCTTCAAATGCTACAAAAGGTAGTTTTTATTATCCTTTTATAATCAGTTTTACACTTAATAAGTTTTTAAAAGTAATTTACCAAACACTTTTGTTGTTATACTTTAAAACTTAATTGGTTATTTTTGTAAGCTACAGTAATCCGGAACACTCTCTGCGTGGTAGAAATTATTAAAAAAAATGGATGGAGACAAAGAACCATGTTTGGATTGTGTGATTTCACATATCTTGAAGTTGATATGCAATTTACAGTACAAATATACATGAATATGATTTAAAATTAGAATGGATAGTGGCGGATTTGAGATTTTAATTTGGGAGATTGATATAATTTTTAATAAATAAAAAATTCATGAAATATTTCAGGGTTTATTTAGTGTCTCTTACAACATCTTTTTTAATAATTAATTTATAAAATAAAAAGAACAAAATTTAATTTTGTATACATTTTTAAAGATGTGGGGAGAATATATTAGTAGAATAATTTAAAAATCAGTATTACTTCGTGTGAATAGAAGAACAACTTCATTCATGCAGCCTAAAAAACTACAAAAATTAGTATTTAAAAAAAGATAATATATATCCTACCAATGATATTTATTCAAATAAAATATAAATCATATTCAAATCTCCAATAATACATATATGTGTTAAATTATTAATCATATAAAACATTCATTAATTGACTTCTTTAAATAGGAATTCATATAACTTAAAAACTAGGAGATAATGCTGATTGTTATGCCTGAAAATATAGGGCTGACGCAAGACTTAGTCAGCATAAAAAGTCAGAGCTTAGGTAGGCCCGTAGCCAGTTAGAAGTAGCCACGTCCCGTGGTGACAGGAGCAACACACTTATGTCAGTATAATGGGTGCGCGCCAGACCAGCCAAAAGCTGTAGTGACTCCACGTGTCCAATCCCTGCACTAAATCGCGTAAATCACTCTAGAAGGTGGGCAATGTGACATAAAAAAGGATTTGCACGGATAATCCCACAAACTCGCAGATTTAGTAATGATAATCGTAATCCATCCCACTATAAATTGAGAGCTCTTCTCTCATTTATGGGATTGGCTACTCTCTCTCTAAAATATATAGCATTCTCTCTCTTGTACAATCATTTGTAAGTCAGTCTGCTAACGCGACCTGACCTTTATCATTAATACAAGAATCAGTGGACGTAGGATTCGCTTCCTTAGCATCCGAATCACTTTAAACGCTGTTTTCCATTGCATTTACTCTCATTTTCGCATTCACGTGTGTCTACTGGGCCTACTCAACATTTCACACGTGCGTTTGGTTGGTGTCAAAATCACGCATCAATAGTTTGGCGCTAGAAGGAGGGCTTGATTTAGTATTCGTCCTTCATCAAGAGAATCTTTAACTTACTGGTCCTATAACAGCAAATGGCTCGCCAACTTGAACCTGAGCGAACCAACCAGGGTGCTGGGGAGATCCCCCAAGTCCAGGACACCTCTTTCGAGGTACCTTCGGTTCCGCAAAATGTCGCGGGGGATATCCTGTCAAGTTCACAACTTGACCCTGCCATCAGAAGCTACCTGGAGAGGTTCGACAATACCCTCAAGACGGTCAACCGAAGGCTGGACCGTTTGGACCAGGGCATGCCACCCGAATTAGCTGGGGCGGTGTAACCGCCAAAAATGCCTGCAGCAAAGGGCGATAGCCCGTGCTGCGAGGACTGCAGCGCGTCGAAGAAAGGGCAAGAATAGGCCTAAGGGCTCCAAAGGGCCCGCGAAAACACCGACCACGTCCCGAGTAGAATACCTGTGGCGTTAAGACTCGGTGAAAAGTCACAAGCCGAGCCATCCCATGCCACGTCGCATGCACACCCCCATAAAGTGTTGGGCGGGGCGATTCTTATCACTGCCAGAAAAACGATCGTGATTGTCATCGTGCGGGAGCTTCCCACACTTCGCGAGGCAGTTCGTACCACCGCGGAGGTCGTGAAAATTCCCCTTACCGTTCATCGCTATCACACGGCTCTAGCCAGTGTGTGTCGAGAGCAGCCGGAACTGCTGACCAAGACGAAGCGGAATCCGACCTCCGGACTTTTCTCAACCGCAACCACAACCGCGAGGGTCGGACTCGCATGAGAGAAAGCAATCCCCAGATAGCTCCGCTGCCTCAGATTGAGGAGTTGCAGCGAGCTCTAGACCAGCTAAGAGCTCAGCAAAACGAGCAGGGGCAGGTCGAGTCCGCGTCCCCTTTTTCTCCGGCAGTGTTAGCTGCCCCACTCCCATCAAGATTTAGAATGCTTGACATGCGGGCGTTCGATGGAAATTCTGATCTGCAGGATCATTTATATGAATTCAATGACCTGATGGAGCTTCACCAGGTCTCAGATCTAGCGAAGTGTCGTTGTTTGGCAGTAACTCTAACCTCTCATGCCAAACGGTAGTTCAGGTCGCTCCCAGCGGGATCGATAAGCTCGTGGCCTCAAATGAGCGCAACATTCTTGAGGCATTTCCAAGCAAATCGAAAGTTCTCGATGCCTTTGAGCTACCTCAGCAACATAAGACAAGAGAGGGATGAATCCCTCTAATCGTACATCGATCGATTCCACAGAGAGCTTAATAAGGTAGCTCACACTCCCGATGAGTCTATTCGGACTCTCATCATAGCGGGAGTTCGCCCACAGATCGACCTGTGGAAAGAGTTACAGGCTGAGGATGATGTTTCCCTCACCCGTTTCTATAACCTCACGGAGAAGTACCTCCGTATTGAAAGTTCCGTGGCGGCGCTCCGTCGTCGTGACCACGGCGCTTCGGGTAGTGCGTCTGGTCGGGAGGAAAGGAGAGTTTATCACAGATAGGCTACTAACGATCAACGAAAAGGAAAGAAACCGCGCTATGAGCCCAAAAAGTCTTATGCTCCTGTTCCTCGTCGTGATCACGACAGAAATCAATATACACCTTTGAATGCATCTGTATCGGCTATTCTTGACAAATCAGAAGAAGCCAGCCTGCTCGAAGAGCCTAAGCCCATGAAAAATCCCCCGTCAGCCAGAAATAGTAAAAAGTACTGTCGCTTTCATCAGGATAATGGGCATCACATCGATGAGTGCCGAGCTTTCAAACAGGCAATCGAAGACCTCATCAAGCCGGGGCATTTCAAGGAATATATTGATGATTCCACTCCCGAACAAGAGAAAAATCAAGGGGAACCAGGAAAGAAGCATCGTGATCGCAAAGGCATAGGCAGTATCAACCTGATCTTTGGAGGGCCGCACCTCGCGGGGAACTTGCGAGGTGCCCAGGAAATATATTCTCGCGCGGCCCATCACAACCCTATCAGTGTGATGAGCACGATGCAGCGACCACAAAAGGTTCGCAGGGAGGAGGCAATTACCTTCTCCGAAAAGGATGCAGCTCATTTGCATCACCCCCACGATGGCGCTCATGTAATCAAGCCCCTCATAGGGCGCCATAACGTCCACATAATGTTGGTGGATAATGGAAGTGCTGTGAACATCTTGTTCCAGACAGCTTTCGAAAGAATGAACTTGGACGAGGCCGACCTGAAGCCCGCCTCGATCCCCTTATATGGTTTTACAGGGGACCACCTGATCCCCAATGGAACGATCTTGCTTCCAGTCATGTTGGGTGACTTCGACGAAGTGACCAAGGTAACTGAATTCTTGGTAGTGGTTGCCCATCCGCTTTTAATAGTATCCTGGGGCGACCTATGCTGAGAAACTTCAGAGTAGTCACTTCGATATACCATCTGAAGATGAAGTTCCCCACCC